TTCAACCTCAAAGTTTGTTCTTCACATGTCTCATTTAATACATTCTCTCAATCATCAATTAGATATATACTTCTTCTTTTAATAACCTTTGTTTTAATCCCAAGTTAATTGACAATCTTAATCAAGATGTAATTTTTCATAAAGTTACAATCTATAAGCACTCAACATGATTATTTTCTTAGCCAAAATGTTAGATACATCAATTGATCCTTTTGATTATCGTTTGAGGTCATGTCGTTTGTCTTTAAGAGACAATAGCTATTTCCAATATTGGCCCTGGGTACTTTTACTAGGAAGCTCTATTTTCCTACTTTATTTTTTTATCATCTTTATAAAGCTTGAGATTGTGAATCCACCTTGATTTGTTAGTACCTAAATTTAGACTCTTTTGATAATCTTTGATTTGATGGCCTAATTCTCAATAATAATAAAATAATTTCTTTTGTGTTAATATTTGTTCTCTCTGTGGTGTTAATAGACCTTGCAAGACATCAATTTCTATTAGCGTTGATTGTTATGTAATAGTATTAGATAGTAGTATAGGATTTTACTTTATAGGTCATGCTCCATAATTTTTGAAATCTATAATATCAACCCTTTTTGCAATCCTAATTGCCTCTTTTAATATTTATAAATTTCTTAATTCCACCTCTTGCTGAACCATAGGCTTCAACCCTTGTACAAATCAATTTGTCATCCTTGCCTTTGAAATGTTGCCAATTTAGAGATATAGAAACTTGAATCTAAAGATATAGAGACTTAAATTGGGAGATATAATCTTGCATTGACCTAGATTGTATAAGATTAGCCAATTGATTGCATGTTAATTTCTCTACATTGATGGGTTGAAATTGATTCCTAAGTTCAATCTCACTTCTTGTTACAAAATCTACCTTGAGCTCCATGGTTTTGAGCTCAATGTCACCACCAAATGGCTACCGCATCTTTCAAATAGCTAGTTGCATATATAATTCTTTGAGTGGTACTTGTCTCAAATAATTGGAAGTATTATTGCATATTGAAGAGTCGTTGGCATACATCTTATTGCCTTAAAGTTTCAGAATATATTTTGGGCTTGCTTAATTTTAGCCAAAAAAATGTTAATTCTCTTGTCCTAAAAACTTCTATTTTTCCTTACACAGTAGCTATTTAATCTAAGAGGTGTTGCATCTAAGCCTTCATTAAAGATGGCTATATTATATCTCTCATGTTATAATTTCTTTGCCAAACTTTGCTATTATAACATCTTATACACTTCTAATTGACTTTTTAAAAGTAGCTCGTGGTAGCACCAAAACAATTACCAGTGTGACCACAATAATTGACTTATAAATAAATAGTGGCTATTAACACGCTACCAAAGAACAGACTAATACTCACTCTGATATCAATGAAATAGGATTGAATTTTCTTAAAGATCTAAAATCCTTTCAATCTATAGCAATATAAATTCCATCTTAAATTAGGACAAAATGGACCACAATAAGATTAAATAGAACTAAACAAAATAGAATATGGAAGACAAAATAGAACAAAAAGAAATAGAATAAAATAAAAATAAAAAAAAAAAAATCAAACTTTATTGAGAGAAAGAGACCAAAGTCATACCTAATCAAATGTTCCAAATAGCCTTGATTAGTTTTATTTATAGTTTATCCAATCATCCTTAAATTTTTTAGAATATTTATAATCATAGGCCCTACCAAGATAACTGCCTTTTTAGAAGATTTTAGAGGTGGTCTCATCTAAATAATCACCTTTAGTTTTTCTAGGATGTTCCATGGTGGATCCCATATGGATCACCAATTTGGCTCCAATTCTAAAAACTTCTCAAAAATGGCTTTAATTACCTATCTCTATACATTAATAATATAATTATCTTATTCATGCTTTGTTACATTAAGTTTTACACATACATAAATAACATTGTATCATCAAAAGATTGTATTGCTTGTAGAATGATCCAACGTAATCTCATCACTCTACTTAACAAATATCAAAGAATTTTTATGTAATTTACTTGAAATTTGAGGAGTTCTAGCTAGAAAAGGAAGTCATTAAAATCTCACTTGTAATTATGAACCTAATTTTTGTAGCATTTTTTTTTTGCAAGAAGTACAAATTTTTGTCTCCTATAAGAATTTGTTTAACTTACAAGTATATTTCTATAATACAATAGAAAAGATTGATGTGCCTCTTCTTACCTAATTTATTAAAGTAGAATTGTGAATAATTATTTTTTTTCCAAAATTTCTTCAATATTTTTTTTATTTAATATTTTAAATAATTGGTGAACTCTTGTAAGAAAAAATGTTGCATGAGCATCATTATTTCTATAAAAGACAACATATATGCCACAATCACTATTATTGTATCTATATTGGCACAACCAATCACACTTGTTGTATAAAAAATATGTATTGGTTTCATTATAGCTACATTAACATTCAAAGAGCTTTTATTCTCTAATTTTCCAAATTCACTTCTTACACAATTTTTCATACTTTTTATAAGCATAGACATTCAAAAAGGGTACCACATATGCAAAGATATCTCATAATAGCATTAAGTATGCAAAGTCATTTAAAAAGGATCCTTCTAATTTCAAGAATAATTATTAAGTGTCAAGCATGGTTTGTTTTAATAGTGATATAGATCTTCTTAGATGCACCAAAATATTGCTTGATTTGTGATAGTGAAAAATTAAAAGAATATACTTACAATTGATCATTGGAATTTTTTTTAGAATTTTTTAGTTTTGTAGTTGACTTTTAACAAAAAAATTGGTTGTAGGATTATGATTCTGAAGTAGTTGAAGCTATCATTGACTTACAAAAAATGCTTAAAATTACTTCCAAACCTATGATGCTATTGCACAATTGATTATGGGAGTTCAAATTTGTCTAAGACATATTTAGATTCCATGATTGGCTTATAGAATTTCAAAATAACTAGTATTTATTTCTTTATGTTGCATCCCAAGATGTCTTATATCCCTTATATACCTTACATGAATATCTCAAAAAATGTACATATTTGGTGTTATTTCAAAAAAATAGTATTCTAATACTTATATTCTTTTATATTCTTTGCAATATGATCTATATAGGTTGCCATCACAAAGGACTTCTTCATTTTTAACATCTTTAGAGTGTACTTCTATTCCTCTCTTTTGTTCCTATTTTTACTCTTCCATTATTTTACAATAAACATCAACTTTAGATGTATTATTTTTTAATAATCAAATATAATCTCATCACATATTTCAATTCTTACTTCTTGTATTATTTGTAGAAAAGCCTCCTAAACTATTCAATCTTCCATAAAACAAAAACTTCAAGTTTAGATTCCTTAATACTGTAGAAATATAGGTAGATACTTTGGATTTGAAAGCAAAGCATCTTATGATTTTTTTCTTTGATGGCATACTTAGAAGATGCCATTGTTGAAAAGTGCTTGCAAAACCTTATTTTGTTGCACAATAAAGAAAAGAAGTTCTTTTGCAAAAAAAAAAACTTACCAAAAAGACAAAACATGACTTTGGTGGAAATGAATGAGGATGTGGAAGAATAAAGATAATAAGAAATCTAGCTAGCAAGCAAGAGTGAGGAAGAGAGAAAAGGCAGGACAAAAATATGACACAAGTGTGCATTTGAGATAAAAGGAGAGAATGCACATTTGAGAGAAGCCATTATTGAGAATCTTAAAGACTCCAAGCACTTGGATCTTAGAAATCCTCATGGTTTTAACTACTTTGTGTTCCTATGTTCCTAAAGTTCTTTTTAACATCAAATCAAAATGCATATTTGTCTCTTTACCTTATATTCAAGTTGTTTTATATAATAGATAAAATTAAATATTGATTATACATAGTATTGCAGCAAAGCCAAATTAGTCAAAAAGATATGGTTAGTAAATTCATGAAAAAACTCAACTTTGTTTTGAAGTACAACCATTGCATCTCATGAGTGGTATCATATCTTTTTATACTAAATCAATTGGTGGTCTTATTTGTTAATAGTTACATAAGTTAATTATCAATAAAAATCTATTATCTTTTTTTATTGAAAGAATAATTTAATATGCAAAAAAACATTAAAAGAATAAATAAAAAAAAGTAAAAAATAAGGATAAAAAAATGACATCAAAAGTAGTAAAAGAAATTGGATTATTACTTAATAAATATACAAGACATAGGAGAACAATCAGGTTAACAGCTGTATTGGAAAAATTGAGTTTTCTCTTATTTTTCAATATTTTTTTTTATTTTTGAACATCTAAGTTGTAAAAAGATTCTTATGGAAGAAATTGAAGTACTACCAAATGTCTTGAACGTTTACAATTTTTTGATGGAGGAACATCAAAATAAATAAATAAATAAATGTTATGCATATGAAAAGATTACAAAAGTTTTTTGATAGGTCATAAAAGGATTTTCAAATCATTCAGAATGATTTGCAAGATTTGAGAAATCTATAAAAAATAATACATGGTGGTAAAGGCTTCTTAAAATTGTAGAGGGGATTTGTAAAATTGATAAAACAAATAATACACAGGAAAGAATAAATAGTATCAATCTATTTTTTGATTTAAAATAATGCGAAATGAATAGTTATCTTAATTTTTTTCATTCATTTGATTTTTGTCTTTTATGTTTTTTACTTAAAATGTTTTACAGAGGTGTTTCAAAATTCATGTTATCATTATTAATTTTCATCAATAACTAATTAGTATAATAATATAGTATTTTAAAGTCATAGTACTATGACGAAAATTTCTAAGTCATTAAAAGAAATTGATTACAATCTTTTGAAACTAAGGATTTTGATGTATTAAAATATATGTTTTGAAAAAAGCCTGTATCCGCATTTTATAATTCAAAACTGAATAGTATAAAATTTTATAGGTCAAAAAAATTTAATTCAATATGAAATGAAATCCTTGCAGAAATTAAATTTTTTATACAATAAATTTACCATAACTAAAACTTGTGAAAGTGATTGCAAAGTGAATTTATTACACATGCCAACTAAATGTTTGACTTTGCTTGATTTTGTATTATTAATAAACGTGTTTGATATGAATGTGCAAGTTGATACACGATAGTTGAAGATTATCTATTGACTTTGAAAAGTAAAAATCAATTTTCATCTAGTATTGGAGTTGCTAATTCATTGATAGCATAGATTCTGGCAAAGAAATAAAATTGGAACTCTATGTAAGGTCATCCATAGCAAGCTCCCTTTCTTTTAATTTATTCTTCACGCGCAAAAGCAAAGTTGTTTTCCAATCATCCTATAAATAAAAATAAAAATAAATCAACTTCTAGTAAGCATTTGGTGAAATTTTGGATGCATGAAATAGGGAGATGTATTTTTTAATATTTCCTTGATTCTTTAAAGGGGCAATTAACTAGTTTTAAAGGGTCTACTTATTAACTTTGAATGTCATACTATCATTTCAATTCTACACTTTGATGATATTTAAAACAAAAAATATATTTATTCGATATTACTGTTTCTCTCAACTGAATTTTCATTAGTTTAATTTCTTCTTGTTTATAATAATTTTCCACTATTTTCTTGATTAATACATTTAATTCAGTTTACATGGGTACTGGATGTAAAATGATATGAAAATTAGAAAATTATCTGTATTGATTTAAAAAAGACATATTCATTGTATGATGGAAGGTCCCTGTTGTTGAAAAGGTATATACTGAACCTTACTATACTGGAAATTCAGTTTTGTAATTAATTTGATTCTTAATTTTTTCATTAAAAAAATAGTATTATCTGATGAATATTAGTAAATGTACGTACAAGTCTTGATAAATCATCATATTCTTTGATAACATTTGTAAACCTTGGGATATCCATGTCTTGCATTGTTGCTGCTAAATCCTGTTCATTACATTTTAGATAGAAGTGTTCAGAGCATCAAATTTGACAGCCTTTAAAACTGAAAATATACACATATGTGCATATCTCATGAAAACAGTATTAACATGTTACTTTCAAGCCTCAAATTTGGTGGTTTTAATACAATCATATTTTTAAAATTTGAAGTGTGGCTTAGTTGTGTCTTTTTTGATGAGCATAAAACCCCAACACAAGCTGAGGGAACTAACTGAAACATTGTGAACATTCTAAAGGTCTCAAATAAAATATTTGAGCACTTGAATATGTTTACTATAATTCAAAGGTAGGGTCAAGTAATTTAATAAGTTTTTAATTTGTAATAACTTAAATTTTACCATAGTATTAACTTCATAGTAAGTTGTTATGGCATGTAGTATTTATAATGTTTTCAATAATTATAAAAGAAACCATAGGGTTCTTTTTCATATTAATTAAAAGATTAATTTTTTAAAAAAATTATTGTTATTGTTATTGTTATATAACTCCTTTGATAAAGGTAAAGTTTCTGAATTCACCACACAAAATTTTCCTTCCTTTGAACTTGAAAATGATGGATCTAAATCCTGCAAAAATAACTAAAAAATCATTAATATATCACTAGAACATGAAAAACTTAACACTTAATGTGAATTAAAGAGACTTAAGGATCAAAGAGTACAAGTTGAATTTAGGAAGTGCTAAAACTGGTGAGGTATATCAAAATGTATTGTCCAAATGAATTTGACCACAACATTCATGAATTATTTTCTTTCATAGATAAAGTAAAAGTAAAACATTGATATATGGGTTTGTGTGTAATTGAAGTGAATAGACAAATTACAAATTATACAAGGAAACGAGATGGTTTTGAAAATAGTTCATTCATAGAAAAATCTATTTGTTAAACTTTGTTTTGAAAGTACAAACTAAAATTTTATGAAGTACTTTGTGACTTTACAAGTCACAGATGTATTGTAATATAACTTAATACTTGTACAGCTTTCAATAATTCATTTCATGAGTACTGTGCTTATCTATTGGTAGAATTAAAAATATATAATATTGAATATTTTTTCTATTAGTTCTGAACTTCAACAAAATTAATAGAATCTTGCTGGTCTCATTTAATGTAAATTTATTCTTATCTTTGGTTTTAATTCATAATTACGTATTCTAATGAGATTTTGATGTAAAATTAAATCTTGCGAATTTATATATTATCTCATAAAGATACTTATGTCACACAATATATCAGAATTAATCTATTTCATTATAACGAGCATGACTATGCACCAAAGTGGAAATTCGAATAATGGACTTAAAAATATAAATATAAATATAAATAAATAAAAATTTAACAAGTATAGCCCCAATAAAGAAAATAGTTTGTTTGTAATGAATGTAAATAGTATATGATAAATAGTACTGTTTTTCAACCTGATATTTTCCAAGCGAGGAGCCAACAGTGGCGGAGTCTCCAAGGCAGAATTGGCAGAGAGCAGCATTCAAAAGGTACCCTTTCACACTGTATTTGAGAAGGTTATTATTCAAGGATTGGGATGCCACTACCTCAAAGATGTCAATGGCACGCTCATATCTGCACACATTTCCACTTCACAACTTATTAGAGGGAAAAAGTAAAGCTAAACGGAAAAGGAAAGAAAAAGGAAAGGAAAAAGAAAAGGAAAAAAGAAATTCCATGTCATGAGTATGTTGCTTTTTTCAAATTAATTTGACTTTTTCTAAGAACTAGCAAGAGTCATTCATGCAACACCATTTTTTCAAAGTAGCAAAACGTTGTGCACTTCTTCAAAATAAAAGAATTATTTAATTATATATAAATATATGTATATATATATATATACCCCTACTAACTTGATATGTCGCATAATTTTTTTCCATAATTTTGATATGTGTGTTACATTTTAAAATTGTGATCAATTCAAAAAAGAAAAAAAAAAAAGAAAAAAAAATAGACATTGATAATCTTCAAATTTTATTCGTAATTTTAAAATTTTAATAAATCTTAAGATGATTAGAAAAAAGAAAAAATAGAAGAAGTTTTCTTAAGCATGTGAATTGAATATAAATCAATTCAGTAAGTCTTCATTCAAGAAGCTTGTAAGATTAAATAGTAATATATATATATATATATATCGACATCATTCATATTTTAAAATTTTAAAATTTTTTAATCACATGTGATTTGGAAGTTTATATTGTGCAATATTACATAAATCATATGGTAAACTGCAACAGTATTCATGAACTAAGATTTATACATAGTCTCACCATAAGAGTTTTAAAATACTTTAAAACGTAATTTTAAAAAAATGCACATATAAATATAAGCTTAAAAGAAGAATAAAATCAAATGATGTATCATGTATATATATATATATTTCCATATGTACACATACATTTGCATGACTTCAATTTGCACATTTTAATACTATGAGTTTTAAAATACTTAAAATATTTAAAATTTCTAATTGCATATATTTTTATGAATATACATAAAATTTGGATATCTTCTAAATCAAATGACTGAACGTTAAATTCAAAAATATTTAAAATTTAATAATTTCCCTTTCCATTTATCTTTTAACATCATAGAATATGAAGATGAGTTGCTAGAATATCCACTTAAATAGGTAAATTATAGTTCAAAGTACATGGTTGCACTTCATACAATATAATATCATTTCTCCTCAACCTCAATTCCCATTAACATTTTGAATCACCTTTTCTAATAATTGATTTGATATTAGACATAATACACACAAGCAAGTAAAAACTAAAAAGATTAAAAAAGAAAACTCTAAAGACCAATTAAAATTAGAATCAATGCATTTTTTGAATATTAAATATTTGTTCATGTACATGTGTGTGTGTTTGTATATATATATATATATATGTATATATATAGATAAGCACTCATACACACATTTTACCGGTACATCAAATCTTTTGAGATGAAAATTTTCAAAACACATCGGACACTTTGACAGATTAGGAGGTAATATATTATATAGAACCACTTACTGTTCCAGCTCAGCAGCAAATTGAGCAACCTTCAGTTTACATTGCATACTGCTGCTGTTTACCTCCTCACCTTGAAAAAGCTCTGCTGCTTTGTCAAAGTACTCCATAGCCCGAGCTACGTCTGCTTGGTTCTCACATATCTCCCCAATTTCCTGTTACTAACAAGGACTTATTGAGTTGCCTGTTTACACATTAACTGGGATTGAAGATTGCATTCATTCGTAAGAGCTTATGGGTATTATTCAACTGTAACTCCAAAGTTTTTATTTCACAATTGATGCTTCCACAGTTTTACTACTTGTGGAATGAACGTTGATGAAATAGCTACAACAATACCTATCCAAGGTGCTAGGTCTAGAAAAACATATGTATTATCTATGCTGAGAAGGATGCAGCCAACAAACAGTAATCTTTGTGCTCTGAATGCTCTGATGCCAAGTACCCATGAACCATTCATACCTTGTAATGTCTAGCAGCAACTTGTAGGCGTCCTTCTTCCAGATAAAAAGATATCGCTTGTTCCAAGCACCTTACTGCCTCTGAAATGACATAACAGAATCCAAATTCTCAGCATTTGTCGATGCACATTACTTAAATGCGGAGCTTTTCGTGATCTGGTTGAACAACTTCTTACATCATTGAATACCGAACCCGAATTCAGACAATAGATGTATCACAAACGACAGAGACAACAGCAAACCGTGCTTTCTGATACGTCACTTCGTGATTGTTGTTAATTATACCACTGCATTAAGATTATACAAGTCGATGTGTTGTTAGTAAATGTGTTTTTCCAAACCATTGAACATTCTACCTCACTGATAAAATGACGCAAAGATTTCGGTCTTATACCTAAAGGGTTTTTCTTTTTCAAACAGAGAGCTGCATCGACATAGGCAGAGGCAGCGTCATGCTTGCTCTCCAACTGCCTACAACAATTGCGCCCGAGGTTACGTCTATATCAATCTACTCTCGATCACTAACGCGAAGCATTCAAGTTCCACGAAATCCTGAAAATGCAGCTGATTTCTACATGTGTTTCACCCCAGTCAGCCTCTTCTTACGGCAAGATTTCTGCACATGCAACAGAGGACCACATCTACCTACACAGTCTTGTATCGAATAGGATGTGAAATGCAACGCTGGATAAATTTTAAATTTTAAGTCAGGTGCAGACGAGCAAATCAAGGCTGACAACTACACACATTGCACAATCCTACTTGATGCAAGATGGCAAGCACTTGAAGCGAGAAGAGAGGTCTGTAAAGACGTACCTTCAGTTGACAATCCGCAAGTTTGATGTAAGCAGCTGCTGCCTTATCCCCTGCAACTAAAGCATTGTTCACATCTCATCTGTAATCAACAAACAAAGACTCGTGGAAGTTGCATCTCTAATTCCCTACGGCATCTTCACGCAAAAAACACTGATAGAATCGCGACAATCTGCAAAAATTCAAGTCAGCACACGTTGCGGAGATGAAAAAGGAGAACACACATGCTTTCGCCAATTTATACGAATTTCCAGCTTTCTCTAGCAAGTCTGAAGCATCTTCATACTTGCTGCCCAGTATTCCCCAGCTCTTCAGCTTCTTCTCCGCTTTTTCTTCGTATTCTAATCCCCTCACCTCCAGGTTCTCTCCCATTCTGAAATGCACCTTCCCTACTCACTGCCAACACGTATCTTCAACAATAGCTATGGGCTGATAATGAAACCAATTGAACAGACAGAATCACTGTACAACTGCTCCCATACAATTTGAGACAACAAAATGTATGCAGATTCTCAAATGCCTCTCAGCTCTGCTGCATGAAACATGACACCCATAACAGCATTATCAGCAGTCGCAATCACTCAAACATCAAACTCTTTCCCCATCTCACTGTCCATGAAATGGGTGAATGTGAATCCAATGTGCTGTGGCATGAAACGAGCAGAATAATAAACAAGTATTCAACATCAAAAGATGATATTTTGCCTCAAATTAACAACCAGCGAGGAAAACAACATAGAACTTCACAGGTCCTCATCAGCCTCAGAATGCACAGACGTTGGAAAGCACTGTGAAACTGCCTGATACCACAAATCCGTCTGTTAACATGAAGCCCATAAGTGAGATCGATGAACAACAATCTGAGATCGGAAAACGCAAACCTGATTCAGAAAGTGCAATCCATCCCACTCGAAGAGTGTTTTTTCAAACTGCCACTGGTTTGTGCCTCGGGAATGGAGTGGGATGCTCCATTTCATTGCTTGAAATAAGTGAACATCTTGCAAACCCTAATTACTTTCTTTTGGGGGATTGATTTTTGTTGTTCAGATGTTCATAAAATTGGATATTGTCCCAACATCACGAGTACTTGATTTTTTATTTAAATTTTTTTTAGTTATATACTTTCGTGTTGATTTATATCTGATCATCTCATGGAAATATATTTTTTTATAAGAAATACCTGATTCAGTTCTAAGAAATGATATAATAAAGTTATCTGTAAAGTAAACAAGTAACACACACACACACATATTTATATATATATATATATATATATACAGGTATGATTTTTTTCTTTCTTAATAAAGTTTTATTTTACGAAATATAAACCATATTATAAAATATGTTTTTATTTTTGAAACAATGAAACAAAAGTTTAACACTGACTGCTATTTTGATTTGAAAATACCGTCAGCAGGAGAATTAAAAACAACATTAATACTCAAACTGATCAAAGTAAATATGTAACTGGATAAATATAAAAATTTAAATAATTTTTTAGTTTGATTGTGTTGAATGATGAGAGGTTTTTCCGTTGAAAAGAAAATTTCGATTCTTAAGTTTCAATATATATATTCGTTGAACTATTTGTTCATTTCAATAAAAAAAAAAGAAAAAAAAGAAAAAAAATGAAAAAATGAAAATCTAAATTTGGTTAAATGTTCTTTCATGAGTTAGTTTTACATGTTTAAAATTTATACACTAGTAATAATACAAAAGAACTGGTCATGAACAAATTTAGTTTGGAATTGCAACATACTAACAGATTGTTGGTACACATGTAAATATTGTTGATATATAATATAATAAACCGTATGAATTTAAGCTGTTTTAGTTTCTTCTAAGTTTGTGTTGGAATAAACGTGGTATATCAAAGAAATTGTAAGAAACAAATGGCTTTTTTGTTGGATGTATGGATGGTAATGCCTAAATACAAGAAGCAAAAGTTAAAACAAACATTGATGATTTATGAGACTTTGTTGTGTGCTTCATCATACATAGCAAAAGCATGAAGTTTTTTTCCATTTTAAAATATGTAAAGTCTTAATGAATGATAGTGTATATTTTTCATTTATGTTTATATGTGTATCTGTATATATATATATATATATATATCAATGAAGCTTAAATACGTTCATCCAACTTCCTAGAAAGATCTGCCAAAGAAGATGTATGTTAAAGTGTTTTGGCAGATTTTGCTAGGCATTGGTAAAAGTATGTAAAAAATGATATTGATGTATAACAACATATAATAATATAATAAATTATGAAGCAAAAAATGTAACCAGATATCATTAAAGCATGTGATTTCGTTGTGACAGACAAAAATAGTAAACATCAAATATGAATATACACATCTACTTGAAGCTTGTCCTTGAAATATGCTGACTTGTTAAAAAAAATAAAAAAATAAAAAAAATAAAAAGTGTATGTCTTTAAAAAAAAATTGAGAAAGAAAGTTAATTCTCAAATAAACAAAATTAAAGATTTTAAAATTATTTAGAAAATCTATTTATAAAATATTAAAAATGATTAATTTTCTAAAATAAAAAAATTAATGTGCATTATAGGCTTGCAGTTTCTCAAATTCTATTTTGAATTCTAATTTATCTAGAATACCTAAGAAAATTCTTAATTCAAGAAAATCAATTAATCTTGAAAAACAAAAGTCATTATAATCTTTTGATATTTTTTCATTACAATATTAAAAGCTCAATATTGAATGAATAAAATGTATAATTTAATTGTTAATATAAAATATCAAAATTTATTCAATAATATTGTGTGTAGAAACGTTTGCTATTGGCCATGAAAAAGCTATAAAAGTTTAATTGTCAATTGTTAAGTTACAAATTGATTACTCTTAAAGAAATATTGATGAAGAATAGAAAAAAAAAATGAGAATATACACCAAAATTATTTATATTTGTTCAATGTAATTAAAAAAATTAATTTTTATTTATTACAACTACTTAAATAACTAAATTAAAAGAATTTTGATATAAATTATATTTATGGTGATTTTTTCATCTTTATTATTTTTGAAATATAAGATCTTCATCATATTTGGAGAAGTACATCATGAAATAGATATATAGTGGACATTTGGTCTTGTTGGACACAAAAAAGTGTTCTTGTATTCTTGTATGTTTCCTTGTATTTCTAAGTTCCTACAGATTCTTATAAGATTTCCAAGTTTCTATAGATGCTTGCAAGTTCTTCTATATTTTTGTACTTCTCATAGATTCTCATAAGTTCCTATGTATTTCTTGAGTTCTTATGGATTCTTGTGAGTTTTTTAAGTTCCTATGGATTCTTTTAAATTCTCCTGTGTTTCTTGAATTCATATGGATTCTTGTATAATTATTTTATTTTTTCACATTTCTATTGTTTTCCTTGAGTTTTGTAAGTTCTCTAAGTTTTTATAGATTTTTATATGTTCTCATAGGTTTTTGTATATTCTTCAAGTTCTAATCAATTTTTGTGCATTCTTCATTTTTCTTGTATATAGAATCATATTGTCACGGACATACATATAATTACCTATATGAATAGATAAAAGTATGTAAAAGTAGATAAAAGTAGGTTAATTGTGTAATATCTTCTAGAGAAGCTTCTTAGAAGCTTCATAGATGCTGCTTTGACTTTATAGGAGTCTATAGTTGACTTTTAGGTTAGAAACTTGGTCAATAAGTTAGCCATGTGCCACACATGTTGGAAGCTTAAAGAACAAGCTAACTACGTGGTCCATCCATAGAAAACTTGCCTTGCAAGCAAAGGCATGTGGCCTAGAAAGTCAACATATATTGGAGGTCTTATAGAACATCGCCACGTGGCTTCTAGTTAGATAGTATATATAGAGGCAAGAGTGAAGCCCTCTTCACTCTTGTCAACTCCTTTCTTGCTTCTAGTCCAGGTTCAAGAGTCTTTAGTTTCTTGTCTTGCGGCAATAGCCATTCCAGTTTCCTTTTAATATACCTACTTGTTTATATTTTGACTTATTATATCGAGATAGCCTTTTGGTGTATATTTTTCCTCATCGAGTCTTTGTCCTTGACAGATTGACAAGAGTACACTTACAATATCAGAGCTTTGTTTTTTCTTGAGTAAGAGTGGATTACCCCTTTCTCTTGACAAGACATAAGCATATTAGAAGTTTGCGGATTACCCACTTCTAAAACTGATATTGTTCTTAGTATCTTCTTTGTTATCAAGTCTTTCTTTTCTTTTGTCTAGAGCAATATCAAACAAATTTTTCTTCTTAGTGTCATTATGACAGAGCTTGTTGAAATGAAGAGTGTAATGGCACAAATGCAAGAGCAAATGAGGGAGTTAATGCTTGCGATGCATCAACTCAATTCACCAACACAGGAAAGAACAAGAATAGTAGAAAGTGGAGATATAGAGATGATCGGAGCTGCTTCAACATCTACAACAAATCACGTTCCTTCTCCAATTGTACAACACCCTATAAGCACTAGAGAACCAAGAATTGCCTTACCTGAGAAATTTGATGGTATGAGATCAAAGTTTCGAGGGTTCATCAATCAAGTACAATTGGCAATTGAACTTCAACCGCAAAGCTATCCAACTCCAGGATCACAAGTCAGGTTTATTGGCACTCTACTTTCTGGTTCTGCTTTATCGTGGTTTTCGTCTTTTCTTGAACAACGAAATCCAATATTGGAAAATTTGGAAGCTTTTTTGGCGGAATTTCGATTTATGTATGGTGAACACGATGCAACTCGTGTTGCAACAAATAAGATCCGAATTCTGCGATAAGGAAATCGCTCAGTAACAGTATATGCTTCACAATTTTGACAACTTGCAATTGACATCAAGTGGGATGATGCTGCACTCATCAGTCAATTTCTTTATGGATTGCAATACGAAGTAAAGAAATTGATGCTCAACTTACCTGATCCTCAAACTTTGAGTCAAGCAATCGATTTTGCGGTAAAATGTGATAATCAACTTTTTGAATTTCGATCTGAGAATCATTCACGGGAACCTCAACGTTATTACTCAATGGCAACATCAACATCTTTGCCAAACGTACATTCGGAAGTAGAAGACATGCAAATTGACGCGGTACGTTTTAAACCTCTAACTGAGCAAGAAAAGATTCGTCGTCGTCAAGAAGGATTATGTTTATATTGCGGAGAACCTAAGCACACTGCTCAACATTGTCCAAAGAAACGACGCAACTATAAAATGAGGGGTACGACGGTCAAAGAAGACAACATGTCGGAAAACGGATTTGTCCAGCTACAATAGGGACCGTGCAGCTGGAACCTTGTACAATTCCTAATGAAGGTCCTATCCTCTCCTCAGAACCCTCTCCTTGTTTTATAATAGACTTATATTTAGGACCTAAGAATTACAAAGCCTCTGCTTTATTAGATTCGGGAGCCTCAGCATGTTTTTTAGATGAACAATTTGTTAAAAGTCGTAAAATACCCTTTGTACAGAAACCTAAACCAGTACATGTAGAAGTCATAGATGGTCGTCCCTTGTCTTCTAGAGATGTCACTCATGAAACTCATCCTATAAAAGTAACAATAGACGGTCATGATAGCTACATAGCTTTTAACATAATTAAATCCCCGTCCAATCCAGTTATTTTAGGTTTATCTTGGCTAGAAAAATATAACCCTCGAATAGATTGGAATTCGCGTAAACTTGACTTTTCCAAAAGCGTTATTAATAGTTCTACCAACCAAGTAAAAAATTATAAGTCTAGTACAGTAAAACCCGTACTGATAGGTGCAAAAGCATTTATACACGCAGCAAAAGAAGGATCAACTTTTGCTATTTATGCTGCACCTTTTTCTGAAAACATAAAGACTTCAAGTGGCATTCCAAGTCAATATCAGGAGTATCAAGACGTTTTTGAAAAAAAGAATGCAGATATTCTTCCTGAGCATCGTCCATATGATTGTTCAATCGACCTCAAGGAAGGAACTCAGCCACCATTTGGACCAATTTACAGTTTATCACAAGATGAGATGGCTGAACTCAAGACATATATTGACGAGAATTTAGCGAAGAATTTCATACGCCATTCAAAATCTCCAGCAGGAGCTCCAATTCTATTCGTAAAGAAAAAAGATGGATCTTTACGAATGTGTGTTGATTATCGAGGACTCAACAAGATCACAATCAAGAACAGGTATCCATTACCTTTGATATCAGGACTCCTTGACCAGTTGAATCAAGCTAAGATCTATACAAAAAAAGATCTAAGAGGAGCATATAATCTAGTACGGATCAAAGAAGGAGATGAATGGAAGACTGCGTTTCGAACCAGGTATGGACATTTCGAATATAATGTCATGCCCTTTGGACTCACGAATGCACCAGCTGCTTTTCAACATCTCATGAATGATGTATTTTGTGAATTCTTAGACAATTTTGTCGTCTGCTATCTAGACGATATCCTGATCTATTCCAAGAACGTCGAAGAACATGAAATACATGTTCGTCAAGTATTACAAAAACTTAGAGATGCAGGATTGTACGCCAAGATGGAAAAGTGTGTATTTCACACTACTCAAGTTGACTTTTTAGGATACATCATTTCAAATGATGGTCTCATGATGGATTCTAAGAAAGTCCAAACAATCGTGGATTGGAAGATTCCAAGGACGGTAAGAGATGTCCAATGTTTCTTGGGATTTGCCAATTACTATCAGATCTTCATCAAAGATTTCTCACGAGTTGCAACTCCACTTACACGCTTGACTAGTAAAGATAAATTTCAATGGAATCAAGAAGCGGAAGCAGCATTTGAAGCCTTGAAGACATCGTTTGTCTCTGCACCAGTCTTATATCGTGTTGACTTTTCCAAGGTATTTTTTATGGAAACAGATGCATCAGATTTTGCCTTGGGTGCAGTTTTATCACAAATGGGAACAGATGACAAACTCCATCCGATAGCTTTTCATTCAAGAAAATTCTCAGCAGCCGAGATCAATTATGAGATCCAC